TCCCTGCCGGACTTCAACCACGACCATCCACGCCCAGTGTGCCCTGCCGGACCTCAACCACGACCATCCACGCCCAGTGTTCCCTGCCGGACCTCAACCACGACCAGCCACGCCCAGTGTTCCCTGCCGGACCTCAACCACGACCAGCCACGCCCAGTGTTCCCTGCCGGACCTCAACCGCGAGTATCCACGCCAAGTGTTCCCTGCCGGACCTCATGTAGGAAGATAAAATGTCAGATAGAGTGCCAGAAGATTTGCCAGGTAGAATGCCAGAAAATATGCCAGAAGATATGCCAGATAGATATGCCAGAAGATATTCCAGAAGAAATGCCAGATAGAATGCCAGATAGAATGCCAGATAGAATGCCAAAGATATGTCAGAATATATGCCAGAAGATATGCCAGATAGAATGCCAGATAGAATGCCAGAAGATATGTCAGATAGAATGCCAGAAGATATGCCAGATAGAATGCCAGAAGATTTGCCAGATAGAATGCCAGAAGATATGCCAGATAGAATGCCAAATAGAATGTCAGAAGATATGCCAGATAGAATGCCAGAAGATATGCCAGATAGAATGACAAATAGAATGTCAGAAGATATGTCAGATAGAATGCCAGAAGATATGCCAGATAGAATGCCAGAAGATTTGCCAGATAGAATGCCAGAAGATATGCCAGATAGATATGCCAGATAGAATGCCAAATAGAATGTCAGAAGATATGTCAGATAGAATGCCAGAAGATTTGCCAGTAAGAAAATGTATAAATGTCATGGTGGGGATCACACGAAGTAAAGTAATTTATATGTTTTTTTGCGGGATCTCGGTGGAATGCGATGTTTTCGGACATATAACTTATTGATATCTAAGAGGAGATCACCAACCATTTACAGGCTTATCCCATTACTAGAAGTGGGAAATTGATATGCGTTGAAACTAACTAATATGAAGGCTGATGTCAGATTTTGTCATTTGGGAATTGGTCGAGATTTTACTCTGAGGGATAGATTGTTCTACCACAAAACCAACAGAAATTGCTGTATCCCAGGAGTATACCACCAACACTGCTATTTTTTATTTGGACAATGATGAGAAGCCACTGGATTTTGATATTATTTGGGGGTATCATGGGCTATCCTAATAATTAGTTCAAGCACCATGAGCTCGTGCCCCATTATCTGATGTGGCGCATGATCTTTGCTGCGACATGGCTCAAGAAACAGCAACCAACCACCAATTACAGTGACTATGCGGTGGCCACAAGGAATGCTGGAAGACATAGTCGTGTTAGTCTCAGCAATAGGTTGGAAGGATTCATTTTTCCGGGACGGCCACACCTCAAGGAGCCTCGACATATTTGGACATATTTTCACACAATTTTCACCATGAGACCCATTATGAATTTGTGCTGCCTTAATGTATCCAAATACAGTGAAGTTTTCAATTAATTCACTGGAAAATCGCTGGAAAAAAGTCCAAATTCACAGAATTTCCAGTGAAATTCTGCCCAGTTCAGGCAGCCCCAGTTTCACACCCAGCCTCGACAGAGAGGTCTAGGCTTCCTGGGCCATGGCGGAGCCAGTTGAGTCGGCTGAGCTCTCCGCGAGCCAACAGGATCAGATCCTTGGTTTTGTGTCTGAGACCCAAAGGACCCAGAGATTGGGGGAGGTAATCTGATATTACTTATATTATGAACCATCATGGAATATGATCATATTATTGATATTACCTTAGTTAATGACCTGTTATTATTAATATCATCTCAGAGATTGGAACTATGAGATGATATAAAGATGCAAGTTTGGATGGTTTGGAGGGGTTTTGGCCCATGAATATGGAGAGAATTGCGTTTGAGGGCAAAAGGTTTCAATCACACAATGTTCCGTGCTCAAGCATACTCCCCGAAAACGAAATGCTGCCAGCAAGGAGTTCCACGGAATTCCTTAAAGTGGAAATCATTAAATCTATCAGCATTGAATACAAATTCTAGACTATGCATTAAGAGCCTGTACGGCGCATGTCTTTTCAAGAACCCGACGGGTATAACCAGGAATGGCTGCACTCTTGCATCCTCTCCTTCCTTCCTGGATCAACTTAGGATTGTTCAGAATTTCAAGACCATCAGAGAAATTGCCCTTTATGCAGGTTTGCAAGAGGCTCTCGATGAAGAAGCTGCACATGCGATGCAGGGTGATGCCTCCAGCATTCTTCAGCTTGCCAGAGATATCCAGACATATGCCCCAAGGTGCGTGGAGGTTGCCGAAGTGCCTCGGACGTCATGTTTTTGATGTGTGTCCTCTACTCCCTCTCTGTGTAAATCTATATTGTAAACTGCATGTGTGAATATCTTGTTGTTTGAACATGGGAAGCATGAGAAATCTACAGCAATTTTCAATCTGGTTTTCGGCCTTGGGCCAACCTCATATGGACAGTTTCATGTTTCTGAGTTTTGCTGATTTGGAATTTATTGTAGTGACGATTATCTGCATTTTCTCTTTGGTGATCTTGCTGTTGTGCATTTGCGTGCGACGAGGACCTGTACGACCAGAACGGCAGCATCTTCAATGTGTTCCAAGCCGTTCACTCTTGCGCACGGGAGATGGCAAAGCTGGAATTGCAGCGGCACTGGGCGTCAGCTTCGGAACAAATCATTCGTGCCATGCGAAGGGTTGAGGAGCTGCTGAAGCCAGTTCTGCTGCTGGACGAGGTGCCCGAAAGCCAAATTAGCTCCTTGCCAACAACCCAGCCTCGTTCTCAGGGCCATCATGCGCAAAGTGTCACAGATGAATCATGGACGCGAGGGCAGCCAGAGGTGTCAGACCTTCCGGAGGCGATTGTGGCAGGGAACCTGACGGCCGAATTTCAGAGACTGGATCAACAACTGCTGGAGCAGCAGCACAAACACGGAAACACAGATCACCATGACATTGCCGCAACACTGCATGAGCTGGGCGGAGTGAGTCAAGCTGCCGGAGATCTTCCAGAAGCAAAGCGGTATTTGGAGGAGTCTCTGCGAATGAATCGCTCTCTGCACGGTGATCGAGATCACCCTGACATTGCCGCAACACTGCATGTGCTGGGCGGAGTGAGTCAAGCTGCCGGAGATCTTCCAGAAGCAAAGCTGTATTTGGAGGAGTCTTTGCGAATGAAGCGCTCCCTGCACGGTGATCAAGATCACCCTGACATTGCCACAGCACTGCATGAGCTGGGCGGAGTGAGTCAAGCTGCCGGAGATCTTCCAGAAGCAAAGCGGTATTTGGAGGAGTCTTTGCAAATGAAGCGCTCCCTACACGGTGATCGAGATCACCCTCACATTTCCACAACACTGCATGTGCTGGGCGCAGTGAGTCAAGCTGCCGGAGATCTTCCAGAAGCAAAGCAGTATTTGGAGGAGTCTTTGCGAATGGAGCGCTCCCTGCACGGTGATCGAGATCACCCTGACATTGCCGCAACACTGCATGCGCTGGGCAGATTGAGTCAAGCTGCCGGAGATCTTCCAGAAGCAAAGCGGTATTTGGAGGAGTCTTTGCGAATGGAGCGCTCCCTGCACGGTGATCGAGATCACCCTGGCATCGCTGCAACGCTGCATGAGCTGGGCGGATTAAGTCAAGCCGCCGGAGATCTTCCAGAAGCAAAGCGGTATTTGGAGGAGTCTTTGCAAATGAAGCGCTCTCTGCACGGTGATCGAGATCACCCTGGCATCGCTGCAACGCTGCATGAGCTGGGCGGATTGAGTCAAGCTGCCGGAGATCTTCCAGAAGCGAAGCGGTATTTGGAGGAGTCGTTGCGAATGGAGCGCTCCCTGCACGGTGATCGAGATCACCATGACATTGCCGCAACACTGCTTGTGCTGGGCGGAGTGAGTCAAGCTGCCGGAGATCTTCCAGAAGCAAAGAGGTATTTGGAGGAGTCTTTGCGAATGAATCGCTCTCTGCACGGTGATCGAGATCACCCTGGCATTGCTGCAACACTGCATGTGCTGGGCGGATTGAGTCAAGCTGCCGGAGATCTTCCAGAAGCAAAGCGGTATTTGGAGGAGTCTTTGCAAATGAAGCGCTCCCTGCACGGTGATCGGGATCACCCTCACATTGGCGCAACACTGCATGTGCTGGGCGGAGTGAGTCAAGATGCCGGAGATCTTCCAGAAGCAAAGCGGTATTTGGAGGAGTCTTTGCAAATGAAGCGCTCTCTGCACGGTGATCGAGATCACCCTGGCATTTCCGCAACACTGCATGCGCTGGGCGGATTGAGTCAAGCTGCCGGAGATCTTCCAGAAGCAAAGCGGTATTTGGAGGAGTCTTTGCGAATGGAGCGCTCTCTGCACGGTGATCGGGATCACCCTCACATTGGCGCAACACTGCATGCGCTGGGCGGAGTGAGTCAAGCTGCCGGAGATCTTCCAGAAGCAAAGCGGTATTTGGAGGAGTCTTTGCGAATGGAGCGCTCTCTGCACGGTGATCGGGATCACCCTCACATTGGCGCAACACTGCATGCGCTGGGCGGAGTGAGTCAAGCTGCCGGAGATCTTCCAGAAGCAAAGCGGTATTTGGAGGAGTCTTTGCGAATGAATCGCTCTCTGCACGGTGATCGGGATCACCCTCAGATTGCTGCAACACTGCATGCGCTGGGCGGAGTGAGTCAAGCTGCCGGAGATCTTCCAGAAGCAAAGCTGTATTTGGAGGAGTCTTTGCGAATGGAGCGCTCTCTGCACGGTGATCGAGATCACCCTGGCATTGCTGCAACACTGCATGTGCTGGGCGGAGTGAGTCAAGCTGCCGGAGATCTTCCAGAAGCAAAGCGGTATTTGGAGGAGTCTTTGCGAATGAATCGCTCTCTGCACGGTGATCGAGATCACCCTGGCATTGCTGCAACACTGCATGTGCTGGGCGGAGTGAGTCAAGCTGCCGGAGATCTTCCAGAAGCAAAGCGGTATTTGGAGGAGTCTTTGCGAATGAATCGCTCTCTGCACGGTGATCGAGATCACCCTGGCATTGCTGCAACACTGCATGTGCTGGGCGGAGTGAGTCAAGCTGCCGGAGATCTTCCAGAAGCAAAGCGGTATTTGGAGGAGTCTTTGCGAATGAATCGCTCTCTGCACGGTGATCGAGATCACCCTGGCATTTCCGCAACACTGCATGCGCTGGGCGGATTGAGTCAAGCTGCCGGAGATCTTCCAGAAGCAAAGCGGTATTTGGAGGAGTCTTTGCAAATGGAGCGCTCCCTGCACGGTGATCGGGATCACCCTCACATTGCCGCAACACTGCATGCGCTGGGCGGAGTGAGTCAAGCTGCCGGAGATCTTCCAGAAGCAAAGCGGTATTTGGAGGAGTCTTTGCGAATGAAGCGCTCCCTGCACGGTGATCGGGATCACCCTGACATTGCCGCAACACTGCATGTGCTGGGCGGAGTGCGTCAAGCTGCCGGAGATCTTCCAGAAGCAAAGCGGTATTTGGAGGAGTCTTTGCGAATGAAGCGCTCCCTGCACGGTGATTGGGATCACCCTGACATTGCCGCAACACTGCATGCGCTGGGCGGATTGAGTCAAGCTGCCGGAGATCTTCAGAATGTATTTGGAGGATCTTTGTGAATGATGAATGGATCGCTCCAAGCTGCTGGAATGCGCAGAAGCAAAGCTGTATTTTGAGGAGTCCTTGCGAATGACGTTCCGCCGGGAGCTGTCCTCCCGCTTGGATCAAGATGATCCTCACCAGACGCAATAAGTTCGTGAATTGACAGTTTCTTTTTCTAGGGGGAACCATCACAAACGAAAAATAAGGAGTACAGTAACTGGCTGGTCGTTAGTACATTTTTTTAGTTTTTCAAAACTAAAGTAAGTAACCAATAATTAAAGGACCGGATAACCCCTCAAGTCAACTTCTTCCTAAAATGAGCTTCAATGGTTTTAGCGGGGACAGGGAAGGAAGGAAAGACAAAGGAGGTGGTGAAAGATCGAGAAGGTAAAATGGTAGGTATGAATGTATGTATGTATGTATGTATGTAGGTAGGTAGGTATGTATGTATGTCATGTATGTAGGTATGTAGGGTAAGTTGTCTGTGAGTAGGTTGCTTGTGAGTAAGTTGCTCCGCTTTCTTCTGGTAGATGTGACTTTGTGCCACGCCGGCCACGCAACACGACGGTAGATGTGAGTCTGTGCCACGCCTGCCACGCAAAACGTCGGTAGATGTGAGGTTGTGCCACGCCTGCCACGTGAAATGACGGTAGATGTGAGTTTGTGCCACGCCTGCCACGCAAAATGCCGCGGCGTCACGGGCGCCTAACCAAGTCCAAACGCGCCACCCAGTGCCATAAGTGCCACGCCTGCCACGCAAAACGATGGTAGATGTGAGGTGGTGCCACGCTGGCCACGTGAAATGACGGTAGATGCGAGTTTGTGCCACGCCTGCCACGCAAAATGCCGCGGCGTCACGGGCGCCTAACCAAGTCCAAGCGCGCCACCCAGTGCCATAAGTGCCACGCCTGCCGCGCAAAACGACGGTAGATGTGAGGTGGTGCCACGCCTGCCACGTGAAATGACGGTAGATGTGAGTTTGTGCCACGCCTGCCACACAAAATGCCGCGGCGTCACGGGCGCCTAACCAAGTCCAAGCGCGCCACCCAGTGCCATAAGTGCCACGCCTGCCACGCAAAACGGTAGATGTGAGTTTGTGCCACGCCTGCCACGCAAAATGCCGCGGCGTCACGGGCGCCTAACCAAGTCCAAGCGCGCCACCCAGTGCCATAAGTGCCACGCCTGCCACGCAAAACGACGGTAGATGTGAGGTGGTGCCACGCCGGCCACGTGAAATGACGGTAGATGCGAGTTTGTGCCACGCCTGCCACGCAAAATGCCGCGGCGTCACGGGCGCCTAACCAAGTCCAAGCGCGCCACCCAGTGCCATAAGTGCCACGCCTGCCACGCAAAATGCCGCGGCGTCACGGGCGCCTAACCAAGTCCAAGCGCGCCACCCAGTGCCATAAGTGCCACGCCTGCCACGCAAAACGACGGTAGATGTGAGGTGGTGCCACACCTGCCACGTGAAATGACGGTAGATGTGAGTTTATGCCACGCCTGCCACGCAAAATGCCGCGGCGTCACGGGCGCCTAACCAAGTCCAAGCGCGCCACCCAGTGCCATAAGTGCCATGCCTGCCACGCAAAACGACGGTAGATGTGAGGTGGTGCCACGCCTGCCACGTGAAATGACGGTAGATGTGAGTTTGTGCCACGCCTGCCACGCAAAATGCCGCGGCGTCACGTGCGCCTAACCAAGTCCAAGCGCGCCACCCAGTGCCACAAGTGCCACGCCTGCCACGCAAAACGACGGTAGATGTGACGTGGTGCCTGCCACGCCTGCCACGTGAAATGACGGTAGATGTGAGTTTGTGCCACGCCTGCCACGCAAAATGTGTGTGTTTGTGTGTGTGAGTGTGTGTGTGTGTGAGTGTGTGTATGTGTGTTGTTTGTGTGTGTGTGAGTGTGTGTATGTGCGTTGTTTGTGTATGTTAAGTTGTTAAGTTTGTGTGTGTGTGAAGTTATTGTGAAGTTATTGTGCAAGTTGTTAAGTTTGTGTGTGTGAAGTTATTGTGAAGTTATTGTGCAGGAGGCGGGAGGAGCGGGAGGAGGAGAAGGAGCCCGGGATACAGAATCAAAAACAAGAACCCCACACAAAGTTGTGGGGAATAATAAGCACGCTAAAAAGTTGAGACCCAACAAAGGCAACAACAAAATGAACATTTTGAAAGCAAATATCCCAAGGATTCCCATGGCCCCTGTCCCGCCTGGAGTTGTACCAATGTTGGAAAGATGGGACACAGCTGCAAATGATTAGAACAAATGACTGGTAGAAAACCAATCATTTCACTCTCGGGATAGAATTGGTCTTGATAATTTTTGATATATATGGAATGATATAGAAGCAATGATATAATAAATGGATATAGATTGGCGCGTACAAAGAGGTAGGGGAAACCAGGGAAAACCCCATCCACAGGTTCCACATCACGAACTTGCGGAGATCGGATTGCCATGTAGCTGGTGGCTTTTACTTTTAAATAGACCGGCAGCGTTGATATTTAAGAGAAAAAGGAGCCGAATCTTATGTCTTGAGGAATGTTTTACGTTGCCACGTTTTCCACTATTCTGATCCCTAAGGATATCTTTTTGGTCACCGAAATCATCTGGAATACTGCACCGGCACCAGCTGATGGGTGATTGCTAATCTATGGGCAGAGAATAACGTTTACAAGCCATGGACGGTCATGATTTTGAGTTGACACAATCATTGTTATTCATTCAATTTCGAGATTTATATATATACACACATTCAGTATATTTATATATACACCGAATAAAATATTTATATATACTATTGAAAAAAAAATATTCCATTATGTACATGTGCATTTTATTATACGCATCGATTTTAAATATAAATGTACAATGTAGACATGTACATTCTTTTTTATGTCCCCTCCAGTGCTTTCACATAGATCTGGAAAACCCACCAGGCCACAATCAGCGCAAAGGAGGTCAAGGCAACTGGTGGGGCACAGTTTTTTGGGAGATATGAACCACCCCCAAAATGCGGGATAAAATCCTATGGACTGGCTGGTGGTTTGGAACATGATTTTTTTCTTCCCAACTGCCTGATATTTTTCAGAGGGGTTGAAACCACCAACCAGATGGATAGTTTGGATGGATACCAAGATTTTTTAAAAAAAACAACAACAAAAACTCAGTGGTGAATTTGCACAGCTATGTTAAACCTGCAGAATATAGATAGATAGATTAGATTAGATTAGGTTAGAGTAGATAGACAGATAGATAGATAGATAGATATTAGTATCACTAATCAAGGCCCAAAAAAAAAATGATACTAGTAGGAAAGAGAATCTTGGGATGCGTACCACCATTTTTTGTGTTGCTGACCAATAAAACCGATAGTTTGGTTCTGGCAAGGTTGGTACGATACCGGGCTGTGTTCGTGGGGGATCAAATTCCCATGACGTGTCTTATTGATTTTCTCGAGTTGTTGGTGAAGAAATGATTACCACAACATTAGGCAACATTATTCACCAACAACATGTAATCATTAACCAGGTTATTGGATGTTTGCAATAAAACCACAAAATTAATGAGTTGTCATTAACCAGGCATGTTTCCATGTCTACCACAACCTGTGTAACATGGAGGATTTACCACTCTTTTCCCCAAAACTGACCCAACTGTATGCGTTGTATCTAACCTTATGGGATCTTATGGGATTTATGTTTATTTCATTTTATTTCCATACCCGGACCCTCCAAGTACCTATCAAAAGCGCTAAAAATACCCATGATGTTGATGTTTTCTTCCACAAGAGTCACCCAAAAAGTGTTCCCCCAAGTACGCCCCCCCTACTCCGAAGACGGCAGGCGTTGCTCAGTTCTTTAGGAGTCACTGCCTCGCCTTGGGCTCAGAGCTGGAGGGTTGGGAGAGGGTCGGTAAATCGATGGCAAAGTCATGGGAGAATCTATGGTTTAAATGTTTAACCATGAAAAATGGAGGTTTAACCAAGGTTTAACAAACAAATGGAGGGTTAACAGTCACAGAAATGGAATTGATCAACACATTTGATCGATTTTGCAGGGTTGAAAGGATTGGGTGGTCATTGTTATTAACATGATTTAACCATCAAACATACGAAACCAATAGTTACTATAGTTCCAACTGCGATTTAACCACTCAAAAAGTTAAACCATTGTAGTTGGCCCAGATTCGACCGGTGCTTCATGTAGGTTATGACCTGGATTTGTAGAGGGATTCGATTGGTTTCACCAAAGTTGGCTCAATGAACTCAATGGATCAATGCATATTATCTGTATATTTTAAATGAGATTTCAAGTGTTTGCAAATCAATAGTGGATGCATACTGTATGCCGGATATCAGCAAATGTTGGGCGCATTCGCAGAATCTCTAGGGAGTGGATAGAAGAATGGAGCTGGGTGCCAACGAATGGTGGAATATGTAGCAGTATTGTAAATTAGTTGCCAAGATTTCAAGACCCTTGTTTGTAGTTGCTTACAGGGTGTTACACTACCCCGTATATTGGGGATTATCATATCCATGAACTGGGAATCCTTATCAACCAGCCCGTATGATGGAATGATTGACTGTTCAATACCAAGATCCCAATCAATTACTGTGAATTTAGTTACAAGATGCATCAAAATCTCACCAACATGGATTAACCCAATATTCACCAGATCTACCCCATTGTGGGGCCCCCAATTTGTAAGTTGGTGTTAAAATGTGTCTAATAACATCTAACTATATATATATATATACATACATATAGTGTATATTAAGCACGTAGCATAAAAATCCATAAAACCCATTTAATCTAGTGATGTCCATCAACTTAGCTAAGGCCGTCGGAAGTGGAGTTGGTTCTCAACGCCATCGTGGTCACCCGGCGTAGCTATGGAGTTTGGCCATGGCCCATAGTGATAGCTATATTACACTGTATATTGCTTATTATACTCGTATGTTATAGCCACTGAAGAAGTGTTATATGTTGGTAGAACATATAGATGTATATTGATATATTGTTATATATTTAGATATTGTTCTATATTCAAATACTGTTTCGCATGGAATTTCTTCAAGGTTGTAGCCATAAGTATCAAAATCGGTTGCCCCCACAAGTAGTAGTTGATGGACTGAGGAGCAAGCAGCGG